CTGGCTGGTCGAGTGGATGAGTCGGAGATGAGAGGAGATAAACGTCGATCAACGGGGATGCTCGGTTATTCCCGGAGGCCTGACACTGGCCGGGGCTACTGCTAGCTGGACCAGCGGAAGACCACGCTCCGGGTGAACGTGTGCGCCAATCGCGGATCGCGGTTAGCCTTTCCGTCTTTCTCCGTCTGTATTGGTCTCCGGCCACTCGGCCGGAAGTCACGGTATATATCCAGGACAGGGGCAGCGTGCACGACACACCGAGCCGACGACGCTCGAGATCGATCCTCGGGGAAGACCGCTGGCGTGTATCAGCTTGATTACTATTACGGAAGACGGATGGACGGGGGGCGGAGAGGGTTATGAACGGCGCCGGACCCGTTACGGCCTGATTTCCTCGGGAAAATGGAAATGATCGAGGACCGATCCGGACCGCGCGGGGCTTCTCGCTCGATCGACGCGGGGAATTAGCGGCCGCGTGAACCGACGCGGACTCGGTTCACGCCGGGACTGCTGACGGATCGGGGATTGCGGCTCCGCCGTGGATCGTGTGTCGCGGACGCTGGAGGAATTCGATGATCTTTGAGACAAGAAGTATGTTCACTCCTGGTGTTCTTTCGTTTTATTGCATGGGCTGTCGCGGAATGTTTTCCTCCCGTTTCGCGGCCATCGGGGGTTAGAGGGATTTCGCGATTGTTGAAATGGGGAGGGATGTTTGTTCGTTTTGTTTCTTGTTTCTTGCGTGGGATGTGGTTGAATGTTTCGGTTTTGTTTTGGTAGAAGTATGTTGTCCCTTTTGATTGTTACGTAAGAGATGGGGTGTTTGTATTGGTTCTTTTATCGGGGCGATTAAGAGTTGAGGATGATTGAGAATTTTCTCTCGTTTTGTTGCATGTGAATGCTCCTTTTTTGCTTTAGTCGGGGATTAGATGGATTCGATGACCGTTGCTGTGTATAAACTGTATACGTGCTGTTTTTTTTGTTGGCCGCTGCATGAGAGATAAAGGAACGTTTTTTTGTTTGTTTTGGGGTCGACTGGGCGGGGGAATTGATAGATTTGTCGGGAACGTGATGAAATTGTAATTGGGAATGTTTGATTGTGTACCTTATTTGAATTCGTGGTCGGAGATGGATATTGTCGGATTTGTTTTCAACGGACGTTTGTTTAAGATAATTAGCGAAACGGATTTTTGCTGATCGTATCTTTTAGTCGATTAATCGTTCTTCCGCGTTCGCGGGAAATTGTTATGTTTACTCGGATTGTTTACCTCTTTTTATACGAACAATATTATTCGATCATTCTTGTCTATTTACTGAAACCAATTCAATTTGAACATTCCTGTCTATTCAATAAACTTAAACGTATTCGAATAATTCTTTTGAATTATTCATTCTTACTCGTTACAACCGTTCATTCGAATAATTAATCTTTAGTCCATTAAGATCTTTACTAGTCTCTAGTAGATTGAATAATAAATGTAACAGTAGAAATCACTTCTAGTATGAAATCTAAACACCTCGTAAATTCAAAGGGATCACTTTGGTCATTTCGTATGCAACAATCCGACACTGCGAGAGTTCGATCTCGGAGAAAGAAGGGACACTTAACGGCTGGAAAGATGAATATGAATATAGCGAGGTCGGAAGAGTGCTTTTTCACTCGATCTTCGAATACACTTGAAGGTAACGGCACAGCGAAGTAGTACCTAAACCCAACCGGTCTATAAACAGTAGCTGCGAGCCAGCTGAAGTCCTTAGAACTTCATTCATCATCATCGCGTGTAAAATTCCGAGTACGTCCAACGAGCTAATTTAGACTAATTTGAATATACAGGGTAATACACGATACAAGGTGGAATGCAGTTTTCTCATGCTCGGCATAATACAGTTTATTGAGCACACTGGATCGAAAGCTACTTTTATGAGCTCTCTGTGCTTACTGCATCAGAATACTGTTATGTACCTCTGAGCGTACAACTTTACTGTCGGCAGGATAAATACAGGGTGTCCCAGAAATCGCGAGAACGCGGGCAATACAAGCAAATTTATTTGCGAGAAGCTTCCTAAGTAGAAACAGTGCGCCACGAACGGACACGTGGTAACTTTCTGTTTATTGTCAGCGACGCTCGTAAAATATACAATTCTATACAGAAATCTTATTCCACTGTTCGCAATAAAATGCTCGAACAAATTGCCAATTAAACAAGAATCTATTAAAACAGATGGACCAGCGAATAAGAATATTTTTAAATAAGAACTTCAAATAAATAAGTGATTCAATGAAAATTCACCCAATTTGGTAATCAGTTAAACACGTTTTCGAAGAAATGACAGAAGAAGAATTAATTCAAGCAAATAATTCAAGCAGGAAGTTACCTTAACGAAGAATTACATGAATTCACAATAGCTTTTCATTAGACTGTTCAATTAACCCACTTCAAAGTTTTTCACTGGAAACACTCAACATTTTCCGACGAGATACAAATGACATTGTTTGAAACAAACTTAACGATAATTCACAGATAAATTGAGCAACAAAGCTATTTTATTTAAATACTTCGCACAGCAATGCAAAGTTTCATTTAGAATACTAAATATTCATAGTTTTGCCGTATTAAATCAAGCGGTGATTGAAAATCACCTATCAAGCGCAAATTAAATTATCCCAAGCAACCTCAACTAAACAAACAAAACAAACCATAAAACGCAAACAATGAGTATCGCCAATAACCATTATCCATCGAAAACACTGAAACAACAAGAATTCAATCGATTAACAATCTCTCGAAAGCATCTACCCTAAACGATTCAAACGATCCCTAACACCTTGACTGCCATGAGGGTCACCGGTGACCCCCAATCGAATCGATTTACTTCAATTCTCTCAATTAAACGATGATTATTCGAAAATATTTCTATATTATAAATAATGCCACCTACTGTGACATTCAGCTAGATGGACATGCAATTGTAATCAAATTGTTTATTCACAATTTCGTATTTTGAATATAAAAGCTTGATGTCAAACTGACGACATTCGTTCTCAAAGGGTTAACGTTGAACTTTGTATAACGCCTACGCGAGATATTGGAACAAAATAGCTTTGCTCGATATACTTGTGACTTCCCTCGAGTCAGTTTCAAAGGACATCGTCTTCGCATGAAAAAAATATTAAATATTTCTAATGAGAAACTTCCGAGTGCAAAGGGTTAACGAATGTCGCGGGGGTCACCGGTGACCCCAACTAAATTGAACCACTATAGTTCACTCAATTAAACGATAGTTATTTGGAACTATTTTTTACATTATAAACAATGCTACTTAACGCAGTGACATTTAATTGGTAATAATTAATACAATTCAATCGTATAATTAAATATTATACTTTTTCCATTTTCGAACAAACATTTCTACATTACGAATAACGCTACCTAATACGGTGACGTTCAGCTAGATCACCGTGCAATAATAATAATGCAATTCAATCGAATGATTTAATATTTGATTTTTTCACCGGTGACCCCCAACTAAATTGAATCACTATAATTCACTCAATTAAACGATGGTTATTCGAAAACATTTCTACATTATGAATAACGCTACCTAATACAGTGACGTTCAGCTAGATCACCGTGCAATAATAATGCAATTCAATCGAATGATTTAATATTTGATTTTTTCCACTGTATTCTGCGGCGTCGAATCGTCCGGCATTCGACGTGTTAATAAACCTGTTACCACTAACAGTTAAGTGCTACCTTGCGAGCCTTCTTTCTAAACTCTCGCGTAGTTATTATGAGGACAGTCAGCGACGCCTCGATGCCGACCGCTCGAAGCCCCACAAAGGATTAACTTTCGCTCGATTGCAGGGCCAGGGATGCAGTAAAAAAAAGAGCGGTGCGTAAGTTGAAAGCAAGGTAGCCAACGGAGAAAAGTGGCGTGAACCAGCGATCTCCGGCCGGTCTTTGAAACTACGAAATATTTCACGCGACGGATAGCTTCCTGCCGCGGAAGAGATCAATGGTAATTAGATCGTCCCGGGTTCAATCTATCTTTCATTCGCCGTTTCGAACTATGAAGCAGGCCATTTTAGACAGAGCCGCTTGAATTTATCACGAGCGAGTGGGAATACCCCGGATTTCAACACTCGGGCCGCGCCACCGGCGCTCATTAACTTCCAGATTTAATTCAGCCACTTTTTCAGATGAAAATAGTGGTTCCTTCTCTCTTCGGGCATTCGGATAGTGGGTTGACGCACGAGTCTCGGCGTTCTTAGCTTTTAGATTTAGTTCGGTGGATCAACTGTTCACCGGCTGAACCGAGACTAAGAGAAACAAAGCAGTTACATCGAGTTTTTGAAATTCTTATATATTGAAATTCTTCACTGGAAATACTCAATAATTCCTAATGAGCTGCAGATGAGATTTTCCAAAATTCTTTTGACAAGACGCGCATACATTGAGGAAGGAAACTATTTTCTTTCAATATTTCATATTAATGCATTATACAAAGTTGAATATTATACCTCAAACTTTACAATTTAGCTGTGTCAAATCAATTATTGGCGACTGAGAGGCGCTTCCGGAGTGCAAACGGTTAACTCTATTATTTTCTATGAATTTTTCGATGTTAACACTGAAACTAGCGAGCAGTTGAAAAAGAATAGAACAGAACAACCCGAACGACATTTATTTGGAACAATAGTAGATGGACCTGAAAAAAGTCCATTACTTTTTAGCCTGAACATGTTAACTCTATTGTTTTCTATGAATTTTTCGATGTTAACACTGAAACTAGCGAGCAGTTAAATTGACCTTTTGAAATTCTTAGATAGAAACTTTAAGAATGGAGTTATTGAGACTTTAATTGATTTGCAATTCGGTTTGCATACTGTGAAATCAATTTCTTTAATAACTTTGAGAAGGAGAAACGTCTGTTGTCTTTTTAACACATTGAGTACTGGCAAGAAAGCTCGTTTTTATATAAAGACACTCAGCTATGCAATTTGCTAATTACTATAGTATTTAGAAAAATATGAAATTTGATTCACATTGATTACCTATTTAAAATACATTGCATAACAATATATCTGAGTTTTTGTATGCATAGCAATATAAGTTGATCTCACTGAAAATTTCCATCCGAACAATTCAGTTTTCTGAGAAGTAACCGGTACACAATGTGTTAATAATTGCAAGAGGATACAATCATTTTGACTAGTCTCGTAGTTTGTATTAAATATTAATAATGTTAAATAGGGTTTATTATGTGGGATTTTTTTATATTAATATAGAATGTAATGGCTTTCTTCTTTTGGAATAGTTTCACATCTAGTAATCCATTTTTGTAATTCTCTGTTTAACGAGTTTGTAAACTGAAATGAAAATAGAGGTTCCTTTTCTCTTCGGATATTTGGATAGTGGGTTGACGCACGAGTCTCGACGTTCGTAGCTTTTAGATTTACTTTGGTGGATCAACCGTTCGCTGGCTGAACCACGTAAAAACGAGGATTGAAGTGTCCTTTACACGCGTTGAAGTAGCTCGAAGACAGATGTTATTTGTTTCGAGGAAGATATTGTTTTGTTAGCCGCGTACGAGAAACGTTGAATTTTTGCGTCGACCTGAAGTGTGCATAAATGTGTATATTGTAGAGTTCGAAGGTTTCGAAGAGGGTAAAGTAAAAGCCGGTGTCTCACGAAGTTAAAGCGAGTTGACTTAACAGAAGTGGCACGAGGAAATCAAGGAAATTTATTTTTAAATCTGTGGAACGACTTGTGTCCACTGAATTGTGGCGAGATTAATTATACCTGTCAACGTACGATGAAATGCGCAGGTTATTCGGGGAATTACTGGCGTCGGACTGGAAGAATTCAGAAAGTTAACCCTTCGCACTCCAAAGGTGCCGCTCAGTCACCACTCGATTGGCGCGTCAAAATTGTAAAATTCCGTATTTAACATTAAGTCTTGAGTAATCTGTCGATACGCGAAATGGGGAAATAAAATAATATAGTTCCCCTTATTTTGTGTATAGATTCCTCGTTAAGTTGAAAGAAATTTCTTCTATATCTCATAAAAATAAATTGAATATTTCTAGTGACAAATTTTTGGAGTGCATAGGGTTAAATGGACGCTGTTAGAGTATCTTTTTGTTTTTTTGTTAATAGCTTTTGAAGAGGATTCATGAAAATCAGAAGATAATTGAAAATGTATTGTAACGAGACATAGGCGTGGAAATTGAGATATTAATTAATCGAGTTCGACTACTATTTGTATATTTTACGATAGTTGAAAATCAGCTGCAGAATTGCAGATGAACGATAACATATCTTTTATGATATTAAAATGTATTCAAAAGATGAGATAAAAACAGACAATTCGATGGTATTCACATGAAAAATAATTCGAATGAAATTGTACGTAGGATGAAATTTTTGTCTTTCAGAGGAACGACGCGTTTTAAGGAGTCATTATTTAAAAGTCAGCGTACACAGTGGAAAGCTGATTAAGGATTAACGAGGTCTCGTCCGAAAATAGATAGAATCATTAACAGAGTAAATGGATCTTTGTTTGAGTTCAGTTTCCGTATGTTTGTCCGTGAAATTCTATGTTGGCACGAAGCAAAATGTCTGCTCGACGTTCGGCGGGTCCGCGGGAACGCTATTCCGTTGACGTTTGCACGGGGAAAAATTAATTGCGCTATTGCATCTGTATAATATATGCGTCCCGCGGGAGTTTTTGCTTATTTGAACAGTGTGCAAGAATTAAAGACACCGACAAAGAATGTTTGCACGCGTATTACGCTTCGACGTGCGTTAGTTGCGAAGTTTGCCAGACCGTGAGTTTTACACATTTAGAAAGGGTCGGAATAAAATAAGAACCGCGGGGAAGTTAAATAAAGGGCCTCTTCTATTTTCGAGCGGAGGGAACTTTTAATAAGAAGTATGTTGCCTTTGCGCAGCGGTATTACGAAACTTTAACTTTTTCGTTCGAACGCGCGTTGCTCGAGAAATATTGTAACCAGAAGCGAATGAAGTTAATTATTCAATGTTGGCGACGAGAAGATTTGCAGGTTTCGAATGCGAGCGGCAAACGATTGGAAGAGGAGACGCGGAAATGATCAAAAACCGCATCGGAAATAGTAACTTCATTAATATTATAATTACAGCATGAAATGAACATTTAAATTGAATTCAACGATGGAGCTCGAAGCTACAAACATTTCAAACGCGAGAGTAATTACGACGAGAGAAAGGGGAATTGAGGTAACCGAAAAACGCGGTGGAAATAGTAACTTTGATGATATTATAATGAGAGCTAAATAAACTCTCGAATTTAATTTTATATTGGCGCTGGAAGGGAAGTGAATTTCGGTCGCGGGTGTAACAAAATGTAGAAAGAAAAGAGGTGGACGTGGCCAAAAAATGTGATGAACATAGTATCTTGTAATATTGTAATTAAAATCGAATAGACGCTTAATTATTCGATATGGAGGGGTAAATAAATTTCGGACTGGAATACCAAACGACGAAAAGAAAATAGGAGTGACCAGAGAAGTAACAAAAATAGTACCTTCGATATTATAATTAATATAGAATAAACACTTAATTATTCAACATTAGAGTTTAAAAAATAACTGTCTCGAATAACAAACGATAAAAGGAAACTGAAGAGACAGAAATAACCAGAAAAATGTAACGAAAGCAGCAACTTATAATACGATAATATTACAAATAAAATTCAACACTTGATTATTCAACACTGAAGTTCAGAAACAAATGAAACGCCTGAATAACAAACGACGAACAAAGAAGTAGGCCGAACTGACCGAAAAGCGTAACGACAATAATAATTCTGGGACACGGTTCGAAAGAAGTATCGATCCTCCTTAATTTTATCTTGCAAAATGGCGACACGCTGCAACGGCCGACGAGCACAAAGGCCAGGCTAGGCGTCTTGGTAAATGTGCCCGGCGGCGGACGTTAATTTAACGGATGGCTGGGTTGTTTTGCGCTGCAGCCGGTTATTTTCGGTAGAAAACCCGTGGACGAGCCGTTGAATATCAAATCGCGCGATTTCATAATTCAGCGATTAGACCGGGATTTCCCACGCGAGTCGTTCCCCATCGGTTCCGTGAAACGGGGTGAAACGAGGGACGAACCGGCGGACACAAGCTGGACGGCGTCTTTGAGGAACGAACGTAAAAAAGATCGCAGCTCCTTCAATTTTCCGTCTCGCACTCTCGAGCTGATAGGATATTCATCGCACACTTGACAATTTTGTCGATAAATCTTCCTAAATATAAAGGGCACTGTATACCGCGGGTAAAAATATATTTCAGCGCGAATTCATCGTTAATCGAATGCATATTTCACTCGGCACGTTAATGCTCGGGATCCATACTTCCATTAATTTCGATTTCTCAGTGTGGTAACGGGTTGCTTTTTGGAAATCTAAGTTATTCTATTAACCGAGGATTTAATACATTAATGTGTCATTAGTATCAGTGTACAATCGACTGTAAGGAGAGTGTAATTAAAATTTTTCAACTGTTCAAACGTCCAACTCTAAATAAAATTTCAACTCGTCGAAGTATCAATAGAAAAATCAATATACCACAGACCTTTATATAAACATCTAATTGCACAATAATTGAGCACGACCAATAAAGAGAAAATTTGAACTTAGAGAAATCTGATTAAGCGCCGGATATAATAAAAATTTCATTGAAATTCACCGACATTGTTGAGCACGACAATCGGGTCAAAGTTTAAGAAACTGAATGTCAGAAGGGCGCACGTAACCCGCGGACTAATTAGAAATTTATTCCGTGACGGACACCACCGGCCTATTTTCGACGCGAACGAGGGAACCCTTTTGAAAAATCTTCAATTCCCTTGGCGAAATTCCATCACTTAGCTGGGGCAAGTTCACTGAAACGAATACTTATTCCAGGTCCGGAGTTCCGAGGGTTGCGCAGCTCGGAAAGTACGTAAAGTTTAACAAAGCGGCGCGGGCACAATGTGAAGTGTCCTCACCTCGTTCTCAACTTCCGCGAGTTAAAGCGGAGACGTCCCCTACCATTGCTCTCAATGGTAATTAATTCAGACCTAAGATGATATGGAGTCTGAGGACGAAGTGGACGAGAAGTTGCCGGAGCCGGAAGACGCAGAGGTACAAATTCCGCGAGCGGTAAAAAAGAAATAGAACAGAACAGCCCGAACGACATTTATTTGGAACAACATTAGGTGGACCTGAAAGAAGTCCATTATTTTTAACCTGAACATTTTAACCTTTTGCACTCCACAAATTTTCACTGGAAATACTCAATATTTCCTAATGAGCTGCAGAAAAGATTTTCCAAAATTGTTTTGACAAGACGCGCATACATTGAGGAAGGAAACTATTTTCATTCAATATTTCATATTAATGCATTGTACAAAGTTGAATATTAAACCTCAAACTTCCGGAGTGCAAAGGGTTAACTCTATTATTTTCTACGAATTTTTCGATGTTAACACTGAAACTAGCGAGCAGTTGAAAAAGAATAGAACAGAACAACCCGAACGACATTTATTTGGAACAATAGTAGATGGACCTGAAAAAAGTCCATTACTTTTTAGCCTGAACATGTTAACTCTATTGTTTTCTATGAATTTTTCGATGTTAACACTGAAACTAGCGAGCAGTTAAATTCACCTTTTGAAATTCTTAGATAGAAACTTTAAGAATGGATTTATTGAGACTTCAATTGATTTGCAATTCGGTTTGCATACTGTGAAATCAATTTCTTTAATGATTTTGAGAAAGAGAAACGTCTGTTGTCTTTTTAATAATTGCAAAAGGACAGAATCATTTTGACTCGTCTGATAGTTTTAGTGTTAAATATTAATGTTGTTAAATAGGGTTTATTATGCGAAATTTTTTTATATTAATATAGAATATAATGGCTTTCTTCTTTTAGAATAGTTTTACATCTAGTAATCCATTTTTGTAATTCGCTGTTCAACAAGTTTGCAGAGTAAACTGAAACATTAAGAATAATGGATTTCTTTTTGGTTCTTCTAGTAATTTAGAGGGTAAAAGGAATTAAAGGAATCGATGAAATGTACGCAGTATAATATTTTATATTTATCCTTTCAAATAAATATCGCTCGAGCCCCGAAGCACGTATTTTCAACTACGCAACTGGATACGCACATATGCAAATATCAACCTTCAATAAAAAAGCATATTTTTGTTTATTTTATTAAGGATTAAAGGATATTCTTGAATTTTCTATATGCACGTATTGATTTTCAATCAATCCCCTGAACTGACTTATGAACGATGTGAAATTATTCTGTGAATTTCTTTCGCAGAGCTTCCTCCCCGTTTTATTAAAGAATAATTCTTCGAAACGTTATAGACAATACATACAAAAATACACGACGAAATTATAGCAGTTATCTTTCCCTATTCGTGTACGAATGATTGAAATTTCACAATTTTCAAAATTGAATATTTACATTCAATGAAGAAACCAAAAAGTCGTAGGTCAATCACGAAAATATTCATCCCTTAAGTAACGTCGTTTCTTATCTTTAACACTAGATTTACGAGCGTTTATTCTACACTTTATTCTATTGTTCCTAGAAACTTACGTGTTCGTTCATGTAAATCACGAAAGTTGTAACTTCGGAACCGTATTGTAACGCGTATTCGTATAATTGCACGAATCGAAATATACTTAAACTGTTACTAAATAATGTTGAAAAAATTCGGTTCCATAAACCTAATGTTAAGTACCATTTCAAAAGTGTCGAAAAACTGATACGTCGATAACGAAAAAGAACATATTAATTACTTACACCGGAAGTTCAGATGAAATAAACGACATTACTCGTGGAATGATATAACACACCATTTCGCATGATTCGCCTTCGAAGGTTCGCATAAACAGATGGAGCTCGTCAAGTTTTCGTATGAATTCGATATTAGGTGAATCACAATGGTAACTTAGAGAGCATCGGTACCATGAAAATTTCGACGAAACCGATGGCCTCGAAGTCGGCAGAGAGAAGCGAGTGCCAGCTTGTGTGCTCGCCGAATTCCGAGGAAGCCGAGGAACCCGACGCGCCCGACCCGTCCAAGGAACCCGGCAAGATGAGGGCGTCCACGCAAGAGAAATCAAAATTACCTTTAAGCCCCAGCACCAAGACTGATATCAAAGATGGCGGCGACATAGTCAGACTATGCAGGAGCAAAAGGATCACCTGCCAGGAGACGATACACGAGTACGACGAGGACGATGGTTTAACTATGGAGAAAGTTGGAAGGTAAGAGGGTCAAGCTAATTTATTATGTGCCAACTCGTTTGATGCTTAATCTATCATTAACACGTTTACTGCCACGAAAACTTTCAGCGTTCTATCACTTGTTCTTCTGTAGCAAAAATAAGAACGAAGAATTATCAATTATTTGGTATACAATTAGGTTACACTGTGATCCAGTTATTCGCGTTATCAACCCTTAGCACTCCAGGTTGTTTTGTAATCTATCAGCAACTGCTAATTTTTATAGTATTTCTAGCGAAAATTAGAAATGCTATGACATTTCTTTGATCTTTTATTTTCCTTCTTAGTACATTTGGATGCGCGGAAAATCGAATAACTTTAGGGTAGTTTCTTTAAGATTCATTAAAATATTTAATATTATAACTGGTGCAGTATTGGAGCCTACAGAGTTCAAAGGGTTAAACATTCGACGCCAGTTATCTTACGAATTATAATTGTTTTCGAGTCATTTGGAAGCTCCGGTCATTGGAGACCGTGGCAGTCAACGTGTTAAACTTATATTGCGCTTAATTCTACCAAGACCTATTTTCTAACCATTATGATAAACTTGTGCCACTACTGTAAAACGTGTACTTTGTAATAAACATTAGTTTTATAGAATCCATTAACAACTGTCTTAAAGTAGACGTTTCTCAGTAGATAATTCTAGTACACAACGTAGAATTTTAAACAGAAATTTTCCTTGAATCTAATAACTATAAACTACACGATCTCGTGAAGTCATCATTTGTTTATCTTGAAATTTCCTGCTTGATCACACTGCGACCATCCTGAATCTCGTTACTCGAATCCAAATATTTATACCACGCTACAAACATGAATTTTCCGATACCAAGTACTCGTATCGCTCGCAAAAGTTAATTGCTGGCCGCCAAATATTTGTATCGCCTTATAGAAGTTCACTGTCCGCTAGCAACTACTTCCATCGTCCCACAAAAATGAATTATCCGACGCTAAACGCTTGTATCATCCTCCAAAACTCCATCAGCCTGATCCAGACACTTGCACCGTCTCGCGGGGGACATTCCGCACATTCAATTCCCCGAAATTTCTCGAAAATCGGATTCTCCGGGTGACACGGGACACTAGTGTCGCCTATCATCGTCGTCCCGCTGTTGCCAGAACGCAACTGGCTACCGTGAGATCGTTGTGATACAGGCCAAAATAGAAGAACCGGGCCAACATAATATTTTCCATCGATATATCGGTACAGCCTGACTATTTTCGGATAAAAGGTACCTAGAGGCGCATCCAGACGCGGCGGAAGCTTGGCTCCGTGAGAACGCTAGCCTTGAGCTCCGTCAACGCCTCCAAGGAGTGAGCAGCGTCGTGCCGCAGAGCAAGCCACCGGAAGTGAGGAGCACGCACCAAGAGGAGAACCCGCTCGCCAGGAGCAAACGGAACAGCGTCACGTCCGACCTGTTCCAGTCGTGGCTGGCTTCCAGTTCACCGGCGAAGAGGAGCAAGAGTCCTAACAGGTAAATTAGCCAAGTCTACCGAAGTATTTTAGTTTCATTGATATTACTCTGGGCAGAGCAAATAATCAAAACTGCATGTCCCTGAGTATTCGATAGATTCTATGGTTAACAAACTTAAGACGCTCGCTGGCAGCGCTTATCTCGACGGTCTCCTAAATTATAATACTTTCTTCGATTTAATAAATCTAAAAAAATTAGAAAAATGAAATAGACGAGTCGAGTTCCTAAATATATAGTTCATAATTTTAATAGGAATATCTATTGGATTAATTTCATTTTCATTATGTAGAATATAGGATTACGGACAATAACGCTGGTAGCGAACGTGTTGAGGAGTGATGCTAGCCAATTAACAGGTTTATATTATTTTGATGAGGTTTCAGTGTAATATAGAACTCGATAGAATGTTCGTTCAGTAGATACCTAGAGAATCGATTTATCCGTTGTACTGGTACCAAAGCTTCAGTCTTCTTTCGCGATAGTTCTGTCGTTAAACACATGGCGTCCGCGTATTTATCTTAAACGCGATGGAATGACCGGAAAAAGACACCCGAATCATCTTAAACGCATTACGTCCGCGCCAGGACGTCTCCGCGTGAAACGCGACGGGATAATTGAGAAACGATACCTTCGGAATCATCATGAGCGCGTTACGCCCCGTTCAGAATCTATTCAGCCCAAGTGTGACGAAATAATCGAGAACAGCCCCGAAAGCATCTTAAACGCGTTATGTCCCGGGCAGGACCTACTCGTCGCTAGTAGGACGACGAGAGGAGCTGAACAGGCTAGACGATAGCGACCTGTTCATGGAACTGATCAGAGACGTGGCGAACGAGCTGGACATCAACGTTCTCTGCCATAAGATCCTAGTGAACGTTGGCCTGCTGACGCACGCGGATCGAGGCAGCCTGTTCCTGGCCAAAGGACCCTTGGAGGACAGGTACCTGGTAGCCAAGCTGTTCGACGTGACGCAGGACACGGAGCTGGAGGAGGCTATCCAAAAGGCGAAGAACGAGGAGATCAAGATACCGTTCGGCATAGGGATCGCGGGCTACGTGGCTCAGACCAAAGAGATCATCAACATCAAGGACGCGTACAAGGTCCGAACGATCGAGCACCGCCGCTGAACGCTCCGCGAGATCAACTTTCGTATCTGTTCCCCAGGATCCGCGGTTCAACAGCACGATCGACATGCGCACGGGCTACAAGACGACCCTGATCCTGTCGATGCCGATCTGCAACTACGAGGGCGACGTGATCGGCGTGGCGCAGATCATCAACAAGACGAACGGCAGCAACGAGTTCACCGACAGGGACGTCGAGGTGTTTCAAAGGTTGGCCAATGCGGTGGTTTTATCGGCGCGACAATTACGCTCGACGTTTAACGGGTGAAACGAAAATGGGTCCCAGGTACCTAACATTCTGCGGGATCGGTATACAGAACGCGCAACTGTTCGAGCTATCCGTGCAGGAGTACAGGAGGAATCAGATACTGCTGAACCTGGCGAGGAACATATTCGAGGAGCAGAACAACCTCGAGTGTCTGGTGACGAAGATCATGACCGAGGCGAAGGAGCTGCTCAAGTGCGAGAGATGCGCGGTGTATCTGTTGGATCTCGACTGCGGCGAGGCAGTAAGTCGCGGTGTACATTAGGAAGTTCGTTGATTGATGAAGGAAGTTGCCGTTAGAGGCGCAGCTCAGATGTGGCAAGTTCTACGGCTGATTTCGGAAAAATTCTTGGGGGATCGGATCTTATGGGGAGATTCTCTTTACGATTATTCTGTTAACACGTTAACCGTCGGAGCGTATGAATTACTTGAAAACAATTGCAAGGAGACTGATGTATCGAAATATTTAGTTACCTAGGTAGCTAGGTAATGACTTGTTCATTGTAATATCATTTGCGTTCGTTATGATACGGTGGGTAATGTTATGAGAAATGATCTAAATTCTCGTGGCGGTCAACGTGTTAATCCGGGAATAATAATAGATTACGATTCAATAAACTGTAAGAATCGTTGGTTAAATAAAACAGTTACTGGAAGATAAAGTTAGACGCAAACGACGGATTTAATTTGAATAGAAATTCAGTTCTAGAACTTCCCCGACAAATCGAGTAGACGATTGAAAGAAAGACCGAGAATGTTTTATGAAATTTTCAATGAAGACGATCAAGAGCGTATTTAGAGATGCCGAGTCTCGTTTCAGGGACACCTCGAGAAAATCGTCGAACGGCCGGGAAAGTCGACGCAAGAGTCCAGAAAACCGCTGTCGAGACGAGAGGTGAGTGAGACCGGCACCGCGCTTGCTCGAACTCGTAAGTCTGATCGTGTTTTTCTCTTTCCTGCCGGCTCAGAGCAACAACATCGAAATGGAGGACATTTTCCAACAGCACGTGAGTAGACCGACCGCGTAATAATCACGCGAAACGCGAGAGATCTATTCGAATATCGAATTCCTCGCGGCGTTTCGAGCTGGGAGCATTCAATTTGAACGTTCGTAGGCGTCGAACGATGGCAATAAGTTCACGACCATCTTCGAGATGGACAACAAGAGCAAAGAGGCGAAGGTTTACAGGCCGAGCGCGAACGATCTCGCGAGTCCTCTCGGTCAGATCGCCAGATACGTCGCAGCGACCGGTCAAATATTAAATATCGGCGACGTGGCCAGTTGGCTGAAGAAAGACGTGATGCAATCCGGGAACGAGCCTATCAAAAGTATCCTCTGTATGCCCATCGTGAACGGCCAGAGGACCGTCATCGGCGTCGCTCAATTAATCAACAAGGTCTGGCCATTTTTTTGTCACGACGCTTCTTGCTTGATCGTTTTGCACGCAAATATTTGTTGAGAAGAGACCGTTCGAACTGGTACAGTTGTATTTTCGATCGAGAGGTCATTTGAATTAGTATACCTATTTTTTGAGTCGAGACGGTCGAATTGATGTATGTATGTGTTGCATCAAGAGATTATTTAAATTAATACCCTATATTTTAAATCAAGAGATCATTTCAATTAGTATATCTATATTTTATATGAAGAGATCATTCAAATTAATGTATCCTATATGTTAGATCAAGATCTCATTTAAATTATCACCTCTATATTTTAGATCAAGAGCTCATTTAAATTATCACCCCTATATTTTAGATCAAGAGATCATTTCAATTAGTGTGTCTATATTTTATATGCAGAGATCATTCAAATTAATGTATCCTATATGTTAGATCAAGAGCTCATTTAAATTAATGTATCCTATATATTAGATCAAGAGCTCGTTTAAATTAACGACCCTATATTTTAGATCAAGAGCTCATTTAAATTATCACC